GCAGGGCCGGCTGTGCTCAGGGGAGGGTGCCAGGAGGCCACGGGGATGGCCACCCTGCTCTTAGCTGCTGGTGCCCGCGGGCAGAGCCGTTTCTTGGGTGAATAGGATGTCTTCGGGGCTGTCACCGTGGAATGTCCCGTGCCACCACCCGCCCTGTACAGCGTCCCCAGGGATGGAGCCCTGTCGAGGCTGTCGGCAGCCTCTGCCCTCCGGAGTATTTCCTCCAACAGTGGCAATGTTTGTGTGCAAGAAGTGAATAAGCATCAATTAACCCCTGGAGCCGTCCTTGTGCTGCCAGAGAGCAGCCGGCAGAGCTCTTGTTAGTCTTCTTGTCCCTGTCCCTGCTTCCTCCTGTCAACAGTGTGAGAATCGCCACCAGGTAACGAAGGGGCTCATTAGCTGGATGGACCGGCAGCCTGGGCAGACAGACAGCCCCCAACACACCCTGGCCGTGGGGGTCTCTGAGAGCAGGGCTGCGAGGTGTGGGATGTGTGGCGAGCAGCTGGGTTTGCTTGGAAAACCCTTGGTGCTGTGGGGACAGCGGGGACTGGCGGCAGCCCAGGGACAGTGGTAGGGACAGCAGAGGGGTGCAGGGGATGTGACAGGGATGGAGTGGGTCCACGGGGCCCCTCGTTTGCTCTCCCCAGCTCCGGCTCTCCGCCTGTTCTCACTCGAATCGCACTTGTTTCCCCTCACCGTGCTCTCCTCGGGGCACGCAGAGGGATGTTCAGCCCCCCTCCCTGTACCCCAACGCTCGTGGGCACCCCAAGGCTGGAGGTGTAACCTGGGCATGCTGCTGGGGTGGGGATGGGCAGATGCTTGGGACCCTGCAGAGGCCCCTCTGGGTCTGGCAGCGATGCCCATCTCGGGGGTCGGTGCCTGGCTCGGTGGTCGAGGCTCGTCTCGGGGGTCGTTGCTCATTTCAGAGGTCCCGTCTGGACAGAGGACGTGGGCAATGGCTCCCACCACAGCAGCATCATCATCTTCATCGTCGCTACCAGATGCCCATTGACAGTCAAGTCGCTCTCTCAAACAATGGGTCTGGCTAATCCTTTTACAATGGGACTAATTGCTAATCAGACCGATTTCACACTGCCTGTTCCCCTGACAATGAGGCTCGCCGGAGGAGGGCTCCTGGGGGGTGGGGGCTCTGTGGGTGCCCACAGCCCCCCCTCAGGCCCCGCAGCAGGACCAGCCCTCGGCAGACGGGCACCGGGATGGCACTGGGGTCTTCCAGCTGGGCAAAGCCTCTGGCAGCTGGTGGCTGGGGCTGGCACGGGCTCAGCCTCGTCCTTCCCTGGTGCCAGCCTGGGCTGAGCAGGGCTCCGCTCCACCTGCAGCCCCTGGTGCCACCTCCGGCCCTCGCCTGCGCTACCCAGAGGGGGAGCGGTGGAACCCGAAGGAGTGGGTGTCACCCCCGGCACCCTCTGGGTGTGCGCTGAGGGCTGATGCTCCTTGCCCGGTGCCGTTTGGGTACCTGGGGCTGTGGATCCCAGAGAGGGGCTGAGCCATCGGAGCGGGGCGGGCAGGCAGGGGCGACACGGGGGCACAGGGGATGGGGAGGGGGCACAGCGAGGGTGCAGGGCATGGCCGGGAGTGCAGGTTGCTGAGAAGTGGTGCAGGGCAGAGAGGGGCAGAGCAGTGTCAGAGGCATCGCGGGGACCCTGGGGCTGGCACCAGCCTTTCCTGCACCCTCTGTGCTCTGCCTGACTCCAACCCCTGCCAAGGCAGCTGCTGTTGGGGGCTTTTGCCAGCCCTCATGTCCCCCACGCGTCCCCTGCCTGCTCCCTGCCAGCCGAGGCTGGGGCTGTGGGAGCCGGGGGCTGCCGGGTGGTGGTGGGGGGCAGGTCCCTGCCTGCCTGCTTTAATCAGCTCCCGACCCGCCCCGGTGCAGCCCCGGCCCCGCTCCGTGCGCCCCGAGCCGCGGCCAGCCGAGCATGTCGGGGTGCTAATGAGGAGAGAGCCGGGCCCGCTGCACCTTGCACTTAATTGCTGCTGTCTGCTGGCTCTTAATGAAGCTCGGCTGCAGGAGAAGCAGCAGCTTTCCCTTCCCTCCTCTCCCTTGGCAGTCTGACCCTGCCAGCCCTGTAGCCCTGTTACCTGCCCAGCGTCTAGAATTGGTGTGAGAGCCCTGCACTGGAGCTGCAGGGCGGGGGAGGCAGTAGCAGAGGATGATGAATGTCACCCCCATCCAGCTGTGGCATCTCCAAACTCTGCAACCCCCAGCCCCTCTCCCCGTGCTCTGCATAGCAGCTCCATGCCAGCTGCACAGGGCTGCAGCAGCTCCTGCCTGCCTGGCTGAGCAGGCTCGGGGAGCGCTGGCACGGGGGGACTGCGGGGATCCTGGGAGTCCTCCCTTCCGTGAGGGGCCCAGCAGCTTCACCCCAGCAAGCCCAGCCCGGGCATCCTCAGCCCCCAGTGCCTGTGGGTGCAGGGCAGTGCCTGGGGCTGCGCTGGCTGGTGGCCTTGGCCCTGCCAAGGCAGTGACAGCCACATGCTCTGCTTCTGTCCCTGCCGCTTGCACGGCAGCCTGGTCGCGTGGAGGAAAGCTCGGGTCAGCCTGTGGCTCAGGGAGAGGTGCTGGAGGGGTCAGGGGCACTCTCCCTGCCAGGCAGGCTGGCCAGGGCTTGGCTCACTCTGCTTGAAGGTGACGAGCATCGTTTGAGCAGCTCAGTGTCCCAACCGCCCCCCAGGCGCCTCCCCAGCCGTGCAGGAAGGGGTTAACAGCTGGCCCATACCTGCAGTTGCATTTTAAAGATGTGAAATTAAAGCCCGTAATTTATTCTCCCCACACACGAAGGAGCAATTAGTTCTAAACACGGCTTAATCAGTCAGCGCGAGATTGATTTCTGTAGACTTGGATTTGGTGGCTGCTGGCGAGGAGCCAGCCTGGGAGCAATCTCCAAATAAATGAAGTGCAGAGAAGTAAGCCATTACATAATATGATAGATGAGGCTGGAGCTCACTCTCCTCTTCATTAGTATTCCACTGTACACCACAACAGCACCAAACTTTCTCCCCGGCACCGTGGGGTCCTTCCCCTCTCTGTCCCTCCTGCAGCTGGGCAGGATCAGGGAGCTGCCTCCCCCCTCCAGCAGCCCCTGCCCAGTCCCGAGCCACGGGCAGTGCTGGGGGAAGGGTCTCTACACTGATGCTCTTCCCTGGGCTCTGCATCTTGCCTTTCTCCTCTGGCCCCTGGGAAACTGAGGTACAGGGAGCTGGGGTGGCATCCCAGGAACTGCACATCAGCAGGGACAGGCAGGAGTCAGGATCCCAGAACAGTTGGGTTGGAAGGGACCTCAAAGCTCATCCAGTCCCACCCCCTGCCATGGGCAGGGACACCTTCCACTAGCCCGGGTTACTCCAAGCCCTGTCCAACCTGGCCTTGGACACTTCCAGGGATCCAGGGGCAGCCACAGCTTCTCTGGGCAACCTGTGCCATCCTCACAGCCAACAATTCCTTCCCAACATCCCATCTAACCCTGCCCTCTGGCACTGGGAAGCCATTCCCTGTGTCCTGTCCCTCCATCCCTTGTCCCCAGTCCCTCTCCAGCTCTTCTGGAGCCCCTTTAGGCCCTGCAAGGGGCTCTCAGCTCTCCCTGGAGCCTTCTCTTCTCCAGGGGAACCCCTCCAGCTCTCCCAGCCTGGCTCCAGAGCAGAGGAGCTCCAGCCCTGGAGCACCTCTGTGATCTCCTCTGCTTTAACAGGTCTGTGACCTTCCTGTGCTGAGGGCCCCAGGGCTGGATGCAGCACTGCAGGTGGGGGTCTCTCAAGGGCTGAGGGAGAGAATCCCCTCCCTCGACCTGCTGGCTACTCCTCCTCGATGCAGCCCAGGATGGTCTCTGAGTGCCCACAGCCAGCTCATGTCCAGCCTCTCACCCACCAGAACCTTCTCTGCAGGGCTGCTCTCAATGGGTTCCTCTCCCAGCCTGTATCATACCCTCACCTCCTCTCTTCCCCAGGCCAGGGGTTTGAAAGCATCGCCCCATGGTCACCCCAGCCTGTCACCCCCCAGGGCAGGGGCAGCTGGGGGTGCTTGTGTTGGGACGTGACCCCCATTCCTGCCTCCTGCAAGGCCATCCCTGCTCCAGCCAGGGAGCTGCTCAGAGCTGTGGCCGCAGCCTGAGCCAAGGGAACCAAACGCTGCTCTCATCAGGGAACCCCCTGAGATGCTGGATGTGGAGGAGGAAGCCAGAAGTGTCCAGGGAGGAAGCAGCCCCCAACCAGTCCTGCTCTGGGCAGTGAGGGTTCTGCTGGGTTTGCAGGGTGTGTGTCCCTGCCACCAGAGCCAGGCTGCAGACACCCAGAGAGACAGACTGTCAGTGACAGGCATTTTGGGAACAAGATCTCACTGGTGCCAACAGGTAGCTTTGGGCTGTGGTGGTGCTGATGTGCCCTGCACAGGGTGTGCTGAGGGAGGAGGGGAGCACATCCTGAATGGTGCTGGGCAGGGGAAGGGGCTTGGAGTCCACTCCAAAGGGGATCCCTCTGCCTGTGGAGCTGGTGGAGAGTGGGCTGGGATCCTGGGATCCTGCAGAGGTGCAGGCTGTGCTGGGAGCATCCCATAGGATCTGCTAGGGCTGGGAGAAGACCTGGACCTGTGCATGGTCCTGATTCTGCCTCTGCATTTGTTGCCTCCTCACCTTGTCCCTCCCCAGGCTCCTGCCAGGGAAGAAAGGTCCCCTGAGACCCAGCCCTGCCTGCTGCAGGTCCCTGGGATACAGGGGACCTGCAGCAGGACACCCCTGTCCCTGCCATGACAGTAACTGCACTAACACAGAGCTGGTCGATGCAGCGAAGGGCCGTGACCACGGGGTCCTGGAAACGGGATGCCTGGCACTGGGATGCCCAGCAGGGCTGTGAGAGGGACCCACCAGCTGAGCCTTCCCGGTCCCGACCCCTCTGGCTCAGACATCCACGGTGTCCCAGGGGATGGAGCCCAGGTCCCCCATGATGCCCTGTGTGCCCCCCAGCCCTCTGGGTGTCCCCTCCCTTCTGAGGTGCTGGAGCTGCTGCTGACATCCCCCTGTCCTTGCTGTCCCCGCAGAACTCCATCCGGCACAACCTGTCCCTGCACACCCGGTTCATCCGCGTGCAGAACGAGGGCACCGGCAAGAGCTCCTGGTGGATGCTGAACCCTGAGGGCGGCAAGACGGGCAAGACGCCGCGGCGGCGGGCGGTGTCCATGGACAACAACAGCAAGTTCCTGCGCATCAAGGGCAAGGCCAGCAAGAAGAAGCAGCTGCAGGTGACGCAGGAGCGCGGGGAGGACAGCCCCTCCTCCCAGCAGCCCAAGTGGTCGGAGAGCCCCGCGTCCCACGCCAGCGACGAGTACGACGCCTGGGCGGACTTCCGGACGCGCGCCAGCTCCACGGCCAGCACGCTGAGCGGGCGCCTCTCGCCCATCATGGCCAACCACGAGCCTGACGAGCTGGAGGAGGACGATGGCACCCCCTCCTCCCCCCTGATGTACCCCAGCCCCTCCAGCACCATGTCTCCTTCCCTCAGCGCCCGCTGCTCCGTGGAGCTGCCCCGGCTGACCGACCTGACCGGCACCATCAGCCTGAACGAGAGCCTCGGGGAGAGCATGCTGGAGGACCTGCAGGACGGCTACGCCATGAGCCCGAGCCAGCAGCTCCCGCCGGCCGCCCTGCGGCAGCGCAGCTCCAGCTTCACCTTCAACTCCAAGTGCTCCAACATGGGGGCTGCCGGCAACACCTACTGCGGGACCATCTACAGCCAGCCGGCCATGGGCCTCATGCGCCGCCTGCCCATGCAGACCATCCAGGAGAACAAGCAGGCCACCTTCTCTCCCGTCAGCTCCTACAGGAACGCCTCGCTGCAGGACCTGCTCTCCTCCATCTCCTACGCGCACAAGGAGAGCATGGTCCCGGGGGACCTGCCCCTGCCGCAGGCCAGCCCCATGGTGCCGGCCCGTGGCCACAGACACAACCCGCTGCTGTGCGGGGGCGGGGAGCAGGGCCTGTCCTCCTACCCGTCCCACCCGGGCTCTCTCATGAAGAGCGGCGCGTTGTACCACCCGTCACCAGCCGGCCACCACCCCGCGGTCAACACCAGTGCCTTAGCCAATCCTGTCAGCCTTATGAGCCTGCCCAGCGACTCGTGCAGCATGGCGGCCGTGCCGCACCACGGGCACCTGCATCCCTACGCCAATAACCAAGGGGCACACATGAGCCTGCTGGATTCGCTGCAGGGCCCCTACCCGGGGGCCGTCCACCCCCCCGTGTTGGGCCAAGACAGGTTCCCAGCAGACCTGGACCTGGACATGTTCAACGGGAGCCTGGAGTGCGACGTGGAGTCGATCATCCTGAATGACTTTATGGACAGCGACGAGATGGACTTCAACTTCGACTCGGCCCTCCCGCCGCAGAACGGGCTCAACGTGCCCGCGCTGCCCGGGGGGCCACAGCCCACAAACCAGAGCTGGGTGCCGGGGTGATGCCCGCCCCGGGGGGGGCTGACCACCGGGAAGCCACGAGGGGAACATTGAGACTAACTTTTTTTTTTCCTTTCTCTTCTGCCTTTGTTTGTTAAGATGGGCGAGAGCCGTCGGTCTGAGCTCGAGGTCGAACACGGAACACAAACCGGAGGGTCAAATACTGAGATGGAGGGGGAGGGCCCCCAGCCCCATGTGTGCCCCGTCTGCTGGGTCCTCCCGTGGGCATCCTCCAGAGGACACAGGGCAGCTGAGTGGGAGAGGCAGCTGGAGCCAGACGGATCCAGGGGGGTAGCAGGAAGGGAAGGCCTTTCCAGATGGTCCCAGTGCCCCACTGTGATGGTGCCAGTTTGATTTGCCCTTGGGCTGGGTGACGGAGCGGTGACGGCTGGTGGTGTGGTCGTTTCCCATGGGAAGGGACTGTTCCCTGAGCCACCTTGGGAAATGAGTCCTCTGGGTAGAAGTGTCAGGAGTGGGGACCCTGCCCCAGGGTGGGGGGGGCTCGTCACCCCTCAGTCCTGGTGGAGGTCAGAGCTCTGCCAAGCCCACACACCCAGGACACCTCCACAGGGAGCGTCCTTGTGTGGCCCCAGGCAGGTTCTCTTACCGAGCAGTGAGAGGGGTAGTGATGGAGGGGAGGATGTGCAGGCAGCAGCCCTGGGAGCAGCATCTGGGCAGCCCCCTCGCCTGCTGGGGGCTGGGGGTGCCCCAGGAATGCTGCAGTCCCTGCCTGGGGCAGGCGTGGGCAGGGCCCGGGGGGTCCTGCTGGGAGTGATGTGCTGCTGGAATGGGTCCCCTGTGCTGGAGGCTCAGGGGCAGCTCGCAGGGTTGGGGAGGGGGGCGTATTTATTTGATTTCATGCACTCTTTTGCCATTGAGTTTTTGCATTGGAAGGAAGAAAGGGTCGAGCTTAGGGACAGGAGAAAGAGGCCGTGAGCAGTGCTGGTGGCTGTGTCCCGTCACAGGGCTCATCTTGGCTTGACCATGGCTTTGGGTGCTGGATGATGGGGTGAAAGCTGTGATGGGGGTCACCCTCAAGAAGGGGAGGGTTGTGGTGGCCAGGCCTCCAGGTGCAGGGTGGGGTCCTTCCTGCCCCAAACCTGGGTGACCCACATTGCTCAGGGAGGTGCCATGGGGCTCACAGCCAGGGCTGTGGGGCTCCAGTGGCTCACTGCCCATCCCCAAGGTGCCACTAGAGCTGGTCCAGGGGGCTGTCAGCAAGAGGGGTGCACCCACCTTCCAGGGGCCAGGGCTCCGTGGGGATGGGGACCACAATTCACACGTGGTCCTGCTGCGTGCCAGGACCCCAAACTGGCCCCACTGCCTCAGTGGGGCAGGTGTGGGCCAGGGGGCCACAGCCATCCTGCACAGCTGTGGGGCAGCTCTGCCCTGGGTGCAGGGGGGTTTTGGAGGGGGCAGGCTGGCGGGCAGCAGCAGCGACTGGTCCGTGCTCTGGAGGCACTGGAGGGGCTGGGAGGATGTGGTGGGAGCTGCTGCTCTGTCCTGTGGAGTCTCTGCTCAGCCATCCTTCCTCCTGGGCACCACAGGCTCTCTCTAACCCCCAGCCCCTGCCTTGCAGCAGGGTCAGGCTGCTGAACCAGCATGTTCTCCCAGCCCAGCTCTTCCCTTCTTGCCCCAGGACCTGCTCCCCTGGCACAGTGCAGGTACTGGGTCCCAGCTGCAGGGACAGTGTGGCTGCCCAGAGCCAGGGCAGGGACCTGTGGGTGGGCACCCCACAGGTGCCCTCTCCTGACCCACAGGGCTGTGGCAAAGTGTGACAGAGGAGCCCCATGTGCCACCGTCCACCTTTGACCAGGGCACACGGCAGGCACAGTGTCTGAAGACATTCTTACAAGTTAATTAATTATGTTTACATTATTTGATCATGTACAGAATTTAATATATTCTATTATATATAATCTTTCTTGAATGCTTTTTTAAAAAGGGTTATTCTTTGGTCAGGATCATTACCACATTCCTTTTGTACACCACCTCTCGTTTCAGGCATATTTCAAATCCTTGGAAACCGGTCGCAAATGGCAAATTAATCCCTGGCCCCCCAGTTCAGCAGGTGGGGTGTGAGGGACCCAGAGTCAGGGAGGGCAGGGAGGGCTGCCATGGAGGAAAAAGGGAGGCTCTGCCCCCAAGAACAGGAGAAACAGAAGGGGTCCTGGCTCTTCCAGGCATCCAGTGTCCAGGCACAGCTCCAGCAGCACACCAGCACACCGGGCCAGCAGGCAGGCGTTTGCAGATGGGATTCTCTGGCACAGGGACCCCCAAACCCCCTGTGGTGTCACAGACCCGACCATCGGTGTGGAGGGGGAGCCACACCAGCAGCAGGAGAAAACCCTCCCCTTGTCTCATGCCTGCCCCCCCCGCTGCCCCCCTGCCCCGCTGCTGGAGCCCCTCGATCCCCCCGGGGCACGTCCCATTGCCCAGCTGTCCTTGTGGTTCGTGACCGTGGGGTTGTCGTGTGTGCGGTGGAGTCGTGTTGGTTTTGAAGCGTCGTGTGTTCAGTCGTGTGCGGGGCGAGGGACGGCGGGGGGCAGGCACAGAGACCCCACAGCGGCTGGGACCCCGGGCAGGGGGGGCTGCAGGGGAGCCCAGGGACCCGGGGGTGGGGGTGGCACGGGGGGTTTCGGGGCTGTGCTTGATGCCCGTGGGGCAGGCGGGTCCTGGGGGCCCTGGGGGTGGCTGGCACGGCCGTGCCCTCTGTGAGCGCGAGTGTGGGGACACCAGGGCTCTGTGTCACTGTGGGGTGGCCGAGGGGACACCAGGGCTCTGTGTCACTGTGGGGTAGCCGAGGGTTCTCTCTCTGAACACAGCGAGGCCCCCTCAGGTCCCACCTCACTCAGCTTCACCCTCCCTGCTCCATCACCCCCTCTCCCCCTGGTGCCCTGAGGACACCGAGCTCCCTCTGCTCCCAGCCCTGCCCCTGCTCAGCCCTGCCTGGAGCTGGTGTGGGGGGACGCCGAGGGGCCCCCCCGGTTTGCTCATACAGTGGTTTTGGGTCCGTCCTTTCCCTCGTATTTATAACTGTACAGACTGGGGGGGAGGGTCTGAGGTCATCTCTCACCACACATCTATCGTAGGCAATGGTAACTTTCTTGGTTGTGCTATTAGAGTTTGTGTATGTGGCAATGTAAAGAACTGTGTATAGTGCATTGTACAGCATATTTTCATGAATAAAATTGTTTTAAATATTACAAGGTGAGGCTGCTGCTTGTGTGCCTGGGCTGAGATGGGGGGAGGGTTCCCCCAGGGAAGCTGGGGAACCTGGGGAGAGTTACCAAGGAGAGGATGTGATGTTTGGTGACACTGAGCTTGCACCCAGAGCATGGGGATGGTTGGGCTGTCAGGTCATAGAACCATAGAACCATAGAACCTCTGAGGTTAGGAAAGCCCTCTAAGACCACTGAGTCCAATCATCCCCCCAACACTTCCACACTCACCACTAACCCCTGTCCCCAAGTGCCACATCCACATGTCTTTTAAATCCCTTCAGGGATGGTGACTCCAGCACTGCCCTGGGCAGCTGTGCCAGGGCTTGACAATCCTTTCCATGAAGAAACTTTCCCTAATATCCAGCCTAAACCTCCCCTGGCACAACTTGAGGCTGTTCCCTCTTGTCCTGTCCCTTGTTCCCTGGGAGCAGAGTCTGGCCTCCCCCCGCTCCCCCCTCCTGTCAGGGAGTTGCAGAGCCAGAAGGTGCAGTCCCACCTGGACATGCCTCTGGATATGGGCCTAGACAGTCTATAAGTAAATGTATTTACCAATATTTTCTGAGACTGATGTCCTGCCCCAGGGTCACTGCTGTCTGGTGCAGTGGTGGGGACAGTGTCCAGCTCGTGCCCTGCACCTGCTGTCCCAAGCCCCCTCCCTCCCTGTGAGGCTCCCTGGGTACAGCCCCAGCCACTGGCCTGGAAATCCCCCTTTCCATCTGCTGTTGGAGCTGTTTGGACCAAAATTTCCCCTTTATGTGGTTGATTTTATTTCCTGCCCAACCTCATTCCACCCCCTGCCATGGGCAGGGACACCTCCCACTAGCCCAGGTTGCTCCAAGCCCCATCCAACCGGGCCTTGGACACTTCCAGGGATCCAGGGGCAGCCACAGCTTCTCTGGGCAACCTGGGCCAGGGCCTCCCCACCCTCACAGCCAACAATTCCTTCCCAACATCCCATCTATCCCTGCCCTCTGGCACTGGGAAGCCATTCCCTGTGTCCTGTCCCTCCATCCCTTGTCCCCAGTCCCTCTCCAGCTCTCCTGGAGCCCCTTTAGGCCCTGCCAGGGGCTCTCAGCTCTCCCTGGAGCCTTCTCTTCTCCAGGGGAACCCCCCCAGCTCTCCCAGCCTGGCTCCAGAGCAGAAGGGCTCCAGGCCTGGAGCATCTCTGTGGCTTCTTCTGAACTCTTCCCACCAGCATTATTAGGCCTGATGGTAACCTGATGCCCAGTGCTCCCCACTGTGCAGATCACCTGCAGTGTGTCCCTCCAGCACCCCCTGTGACATCCCAGCAGAACATCTCTGCTCCCAGTGCACTGGGGACACAGCCCAGAGCATCCTCCCCATTGCTGGTGGGACCAGCCAGGGGGACAATCCCCTGCAGACCCTGCAGTGACAATCTGTGCCCACTCATGAGCTCCAAAATGTGGTCTTAACCAATATGTTTTTTGGGTTTTCCTATTTTTTTATGAGAAAACACACAGTGTCCACTGATCCCTTGCTGCTCCAGTGTCCTCAGCAAACCTCCCCACCTTGACAGAGAAATGCAATCCTGTTTTTAAAGGAAAAGAGGAAAAAAACCAACAGGAAGAAAGGTGTCAGATTGGATTAACAGGATCTCTTTTCCATAAATCCCCGTTGATTGGCATTAATTATATCACCCTTTAGGATTCTTTATTCATTGCATTCCCTATCAGCTGTTCCACTATTTTCCCTGGGATCAATGTCAGCCTGACAGACCTGAAATTACCCACGGCACCCTGTTTCCTCTTTTAAAATATTAGCCCAAACCTCCACTTTTCTCCCAGGGCCCCCCAGTGCTGGGCACCTCCCGACAGCTCCTGAGCAGGGCCCCCCTGGCTGCCCCCCCTGCAGGGGCTCAGCAGAGCTGTGCTGACAGCCTGAGCCTGCTCTGCACGCACTGACCTTCTCCCAGTGCCAGCTCCCAGTGCCACCACGGCCCCTGGAGCCTGGCAGACTCAGCCTCCCACCACTCCCAGAGCACCCACAGCCCTTCCCTGAGCACCACTGGGGGGGTTGATGCAGTGCCAGGAGGTCGGGCAGGAGGGGGCAGGGGCTGTGCTGGTCTGAAATGCAGACTGGCTCAGGGACACCCTCCCAAGGAGGGTCTGCTCTCCTGCAGCGGGGCTCTGACAGCCTGGGCTGGTGGAAGGTGTCCCTGCCCATGGCAGGGGGTGGAACAAGGTGAGCTTTAAAGCCCCTTCCAACCCAAACCAGTGTGTGATTCTATGATTCTGTGAGAGTTGCATCCCACCAGTAGCTCGTTCATGGTACATTGGTACATTGATACCCTGATAATCTGTCATGCAGATTTAGGAATCCAGGCTGCTGGTGAAGCTCTGGTGTCCTGCCCTTTGGAAATGCCTTCCCAGACACGAGCTCAAAGCCACCCTGCAAACGGCCGAGCTACCAAGCAGACACACTCCCCAGCAGGACTCTCAGGCTGTGGATGGTTTCCATCTGGCTATGAGGATGGCCTGCTCTGCATATGTCCCATGTCCCACCCTGTGTCCTGCCCTGGGGATGGGCAGGAAGTGGTGCAGCAGGAGCATGTGGTAGCTGCGGGGTCCTGAGCCAGGAACAGCTGCACACAAGGTGCTGGCAGGGCCCCATCACAACAGAGGTGCTGCTGACTGCCCCTCTGCCAGCCCCCCTCGTGTCCCACTCTGCCAGGACCTGCTGTGGAGGTGCTCAGCCAGCACTGACACCAGCTGGAGAGCAGGGGGTACCAGGGGGCAGAGCTGGGCAGAGACCTGGGCTCTAGCTCAGCTCAGGTCTCCAAGAGGAAAGCTCTGGGGATAGAGAACAAGGCTGAGAGATCAAGAACTGGTTTGTCCAGGTCACACTGGTTCCCTGACTGCCCAAGGAACCTTTGAGAGGCTGCACAGAGCTCGTGGTCCATGGGAGCATTTCCTGCCCATCCCAGCCATCAAAGGGGGCTGGATGAAGGCAGCAGGGCTGAGCAGGGCAGATGGCTCAGCCCACGGCAGTGCAGCCTGGGAGACACTGGAATGTCACTGCAAGAGGATGCCCAAGCCCTGTCCCCCAAAGCATCCCAGTGAGGAGGCCTCTGAGAGAGCAGGAGGTTCATGTGGACCCCAGAGCATGCAGAGCTGAGGGCAGGGATGTGGGAAGGTGCTCTGGAGAAGCAGGGTAGGGAATGGACCAGGTAGGGGCAGAAGAGGGTTGGTAGAGTTCCTGGTGATCTGCTCAGGAGAGAAATGTTCTGACATGGGGAGCTCTGGGATGTGAGGAGCTGGGGGGCCTGGGGCAGCCCAGGCAAGGAGCCCCTGATCCTGATCCTGATCCTGATCCTGATCCTGCCCATAACTGGGCTGCACTGGGTGCTCCAGGTGAAGAGCAGAGAAAGCCAAGCACCTCCATCTTCATGCCCAGTTGCAAGGCACCATTCCCTGTCCCATTCCTACAGGCAGAGCTGGCCCATCCCAGCAGCACAGGGTAGGAAAGAGGGTTGTGGGGCTGAGGAAGGTTGGGAACACTCAAGCAGAGCACCATGAGGGATCTGCCTGCTGGTGGGAGTGGGACAGCCCCTCGGGGAGCAGTGCCTGGTGAGATGTGCTGCTGCTGAGTAGGAGGAGGTAGAGGCTCATCCCACAAAGCTGAGCCACCCCAGGCACTGTCTGTGTCCCTTCCCATGCCCAGAATATGCAGGAGGAGGATAGGGAGCTCAGCATCCCCATCGAGACCCAGGGAATGGGGAGAGATGGAGATCCAGCATCTGCCTGCTGTCCCTGCTCTCCCACCCACACCAGCTCTGCTCTGCCTGTGGGAACATCCCTGAGGGACAAGGGACACATCTGGAGCCACACAGAGATTTGTCTTCATGGACAGGCTTTGGCTGGAGAGTGGGAGGGTCTCCAGCAGCTGTGGCTGTGCCGTTGACCCTTCCCAGCCCTCCCTGCCTTGACACAGCCAGGACTGGCTCCTCTCACCAGTGCTGGCTGCAGGCTCGTCCTGAGAGGATCCTCTGACATATTTTGCTATTCTACGAGGTAACTGGCACTTGAGAGGCTTAATTGGAGAGCTGCAAAGTGTGCTGCTTTCTGCTCCTTTGAAGACAGCAGTCCCTGCGTGGCCACGAATCCTCTCTCCACTGCACCACCACCCTCCCCATTGCCCCTCTGCTCCATTAAAGCTCCTCAAAGCTCCTGGATGAACCAGAGGGATCCAGCCCATGGGCACGTCACTGTGCTATCCCTGGGGCTGAAGGTCAGGTCCTGAGGGGGACAGAGGCTCCCTGACCCAGGAGCCAAGCTGGGCTGCAGCACCCCCCTCCCAACAATCCCACGGGCAGATGGACCCACAGCCACCCTTGGAGAGTGTGGAAGAGGATGGGGACAGAAGGCTGTAGACAAATAAGGAGGAAAGCCTTCAGGAGCATGTGTCTGTCATAAGATACTCCCTTGCAGAAATCTTGGAAACCTTAGAAAGAGTTTTTGCTCAATGTTATTAATTAAGGCAAAAGAATCCCCATATGGAAAGAGAAACAGTCAAGTTATATTTTTGCTAAATACGTGGCACCATATGGTAACATGCAGAGAATTGGCCACATAGGCAGCCTAGAATATATGTTACCATATGTTCATATGTACTTTATAATTTCTTTGTTTTTGAAAAAGGGCATTGTCTTATGGGGCAGAAATGAGCAGCCCACCCCAGGGAGGAGGAGAAACAGCACAAGCTGCTCGTGCTGAATGAAGCCCAAGGAAGCAACCCAACCACCTGGCCTGGGGGCTGCCAGGATGAGCCAGCACGAGGGCAGGGAGAGCTTCCTCCCTGCTCCTCATCCTCCCCTGCATCCTCCATGGTGCTGCCTTGGCACGGGCTGCGTGGCTGATACACTGTGTGCAGGCTGGGGACACCCGGGGAGGAGGAGGAAGAGGAGGAAGAGGAGGAGGAGCGAAGAGTTGTCCCCAGGAAACCTTCATTTCCTCTCAGCAAAA